CTTATCACCAACTGGTATTATTGAATTTGTTGTCAGTGCAGGAGCTCTGGTAGCATAGTGGCTAAGGCACTTGACTGCTAACCAGAAGGCTGGCGGTTCAAACTCACTAGCCACTCCTTGGAAGGAAGATGGGGCAATCTACTTGCCTCGGAAACCCAAGGAGGGGTTGCTATGAGTCGGGTCTGACTTCACAGCACATAACCACAACAGCCTTTCTAATAGGTGTGTAATGGTACCTCATTATGGTTTTAATTTAGATTCTTCTAACATTTTATGATGTTGAGGTTCCTGTTTTCCATCCACACATCTTCTTTGGCGAAATGTTTGCTCAACTCTCTTGGTTTTCTACAGCTATTTTTGACAACATTAAATATTAATGGACTAGTTTTTTAAAACTCTATGGATCAGTTCTGTTTGGTAGCATAAGGGGTCACCATGAGTTGGATTCAACTAGATAGCCAACAGATTTGGTTTTGGTTAAACATAAGGACACCAAAATTTTGAAAGTGAAAGAATGGGAAAAATTATAGCAAAAAAATACTAACCAAAAGAAAGCTAGCATAGCTATAACCCACTGCCATCAAGTCAATTCTGACTCAAAGCAAACCCACAACACAGAGTAGAATGGCCCCACAGGGCTTCCAAGGCTTCCTTCTCTTGTGGAGCAACTCCTCAACCCACTGACCTTTCAATTCACAGCTGAGCACTTAACCACTGCACCACCAGGGCTCCTATGGAGGGGAACCTCACTGCTCTTGAGTCAATTCCAACTCATAGCAAACCCTCCTTGGGTTTCTGAGGTGGTATGTCTATGGAAGTAGATTGTCCAATCTTCCTTCCGAGGAGTGGCTGGTGGGTTTGAACCTTCAGCCTTCTGGTTAGCAGTCAAATGCTTTAGGCAATATACCACCAGAGCTCAGATAAAATTGACTTTAAGGCAAAAAGTATGTTTCTGGAGGTAGAATAATTTGGAAAAAAAATAGCAAGAATGGTTGTACAACTTGAAGAATATAATCAGTCATTGAATTATACATGCAGAAATTGTTGAATTGCTGTTTTTTTTTTTTTTTTTTTAATTCTTATTGTGATTTGGGTGAAAGTTTACAGAGCAAATTCCTTTTCCATACAGCAGTTCATACATATTTTGTTTCATGACATTGACTGCAATTCCCTACAATGTGACAGCTCTCTTCCCACTTCTCCCCAGTAGTTACCTCTGTTTTCCCATGTCCTTCTTTCCCATGCACTCCCCACCACCCCACCCCAACCTGTCTCCCTGTGTAAACATTGTCCTTCTGTTCTCCCACAATTGATTGCTGCAAGGAGTGTATTCACCTAATGTAAATGGTCACCCCATGTGGTTATCCATTGTTTGGCTGGAAGCCACAGGAGTGAGTTCAATTCCACACCTGAAGGGTAGCTAGGGGCCATAGTCCCAGGGGTCTCACCAGGCTCTATTAGACCAGCAAATCTGGTCTATTTTATGATTTTGAGTTTTGATCCACATTATTCTTCCACTGTATCCAGGATCTCCTGCACCAATCCCCCTCCGAGAGGTTGATAGTGGTAGCCAGGCTCCATCTAGTTCTTCTGGTCTCATGATCATATAGGTTGTGTATCACATGGTCTACTAGTCCCTTGGACTAATTGTTTCCATGAGTCTTTGGTTTTCTTCATTTTTCTTTGCTTTGGATGAGGAAAGATCCATCACTGCATCTAGATGGTCACTTGCAAGCTTTCAGGACCCGTCGCTACTCACCAAATTAGGATGTAGAACAATGTTTCTGTGTAGTATGTTATGGCAATTGAGCCTGATGTCCCCTGTGACCATGGTCCTGAGCCCACAGGTCCAACTACTCACTCCCTCAGGGTAGCTGGCCGTGGCCAAGAAGTCAGCACAATCTTGCCCCTTGCCAGCTCTACTATACATCCAGACATTCTTACTGAATTGCTGTGTTTTGTTCTGTATGTTTCTACCACATTTTAAAAATATACCTAAATAATAAGAAAATAAATAACTGGAAAAATAAAAATACTTGTAGGCACTTAGTAACAGTTTCTATTTATATAAAGTAAAAACCAACAGAATTGCAAGATAAATTGGTAAATTCACAATCATAGTGGAAGCTTGTTGGATTGAGCTGAAAAACATTATTGTTGTTGTTGTTGTTAAGTGCCGTCGAGTCGTTTCCGACTCATAGCGACCCCATGCACAGCAGAACGAAACACTGCCCGATCCCACGCCAGCCCCACAATCCCTGCTATACTTGAGCCCATCATTGCAGCCACCATGTCAATCCATCTCGTTGAAGGCCTCCCCCTCTTTCATTGACCCTCCACCCTACCAAGCATGACATCCTTCTCCAGGGAATGGTCCCTTCTTACAACATGACCAAAATAGGTGAGACGAAGTCTGGCCATTCTTGCTTCCAAGGAGCATTCTGGCTGCACTTCCTCCAGGACAGATCTGTTAGTTCTTTTAGCAGGCCATGGTACTTTCAGCATTCTTCGCCAGCACCACAACTCAAAAGCATAAACTCTTCTTCGGTCTTCGTTATTCATTGTCCAGCTCTCACGTGTATACCAGGTGATTGGAAATATCATGGCTTGTGTCAGGCGCAACTTAGTCCTCAAGGAGACATCCTTGCTCCTCAGCACTTGAAACAGTTCCTTCGCAGTTGACTTTCCCAATGCTACACATAGTCTAATGTCCTGACTGCTGCTTCCGTTGGCATCGATTGTAGAACCAAGCAACGTGAATTCTTTGACAACCTCAATCTTCTCTCCATTTATTGTGATGCTACTCATTGGTCCAGTTGTGAGGATTTTTGTTTTCTTTATATTGAGACATAATCCATACTGCAGACTCTATTCTTCAACCTTCATCAGTAGGTGCCTTAAGTCATCCTCACTTTCAGCAAGCAAAGTTGTATCGTCTGCATATCTCAGGTTGTTAATGATTCTTCCTCCAATCCTGATACCACGTTTTTCTTCATATAGTCCAGCTCCTCGGATTATTTGCTCAGCATATAGATTGAATAAATGTGGAGAAAGAATACAACCCTGATGCACTCCCTTCTTGATTTTAAACCATGTAGTGTCCCTTTGTTCTGTTCGAACAATAGCCTCCTGATCAAGATACAGATTCCTCATGAGTACAATCAAGTGCTCAGGAATTCCCATTCTTCTCAATGTTATCCATAATTTGTCATGATCCACACAATCAAATGCCTTTGCATAGTCAATAAAACACAAGTAAACATCTTTCTGGTATTCTTTGCCTTGAGCCAAGATCCATCTGACAACAGCTATGATATCCCTTGTTCCATGTCCTCTTCTGAATCCGGCTTGAACCTGTGGAAGTTCTCTGTCAATATACTGCTGCAAATGTTTCTGAATTATCTTCAGTAAGATCTTACTTGCGTGTGATATTAATGATATTGTTCTGTAATTTCCACATTCTGTGGGATCACCTTTCTTTGGAATGGGCACAAATATGGATCTCTTCCAGTCAGTTGGCCAGGTAGCTGTCTTCCAAATCTCTTGGCATAACTGAGTGAGTGCCTCCAATGGGGCATCTGTTTGTTGAAATATCTCAATGGGTATTCCATCAATTCCCGGAGCCTTGTTCTTTGCCAGTTCTTTCATTGCAGCTTTGACTTCTTCCTTCATTATTAGCAAGGATATAGTAGACTGAACTTCATAATTAACAAACATGTTCTACTGAACATGCACTCAACAATTATAGAATATATACTCTTATAAAGGAGTTCTAGCGGCATATGAGTCGGGGCCGACTCGACGGCACATAACAACAACAACAACAACAGCGGCATAATGCCTAAGGCATTTGACTGCTAACCAGAAGGCTGGAGGTTCAAACCCACCAGCCACTCCTCGGAAGGAACGTTGGGCAATCTACTTCTGTAGTGATACTGCCTCAGAAATCCAAGGAGGGGTCACTATGAGTTGGATACAACTCCACGACAGTGGGATACTCTTATAGATCAAACATAGAAGACTTAAGAAATCTGATCATGTACGAGGCCACAAGCAAATCTTCACAAACCACAAAGAGTTAATATTATCCTCTGATCACAATGTGATAGCAGATTTCAAAATGAAAAGCCATTATTTTGTGATTTTGAAGCAACTTCCAAATATTTAATAAGTACTTAATATTAAAGTACTTAATAATACTTAATAAAAAGCTCTGGTGGCACAGTGCCTAAGGCATTTTACTAGTAACCAGAAGGTTGCCCATTCAAACCCACTAGCTGCTTGAAGGAAGGAAAATGGGGCAATCTACTTCGGTAAAGATTTACCACCTTGGAAACCCACTGGGGGTCACTATGAGTCAGAATCGAAGCAATGGCCATGAGTTACTTAATGGATCAAAGAAAAACAGTGTAATAAAATTTATGATAATGAAAACATAAAACGTGAGATATAGCAAAAAGTGTAATGACAGGAAAACTTAAAACCTATGCACAAAATAGAAAAAGGCTAAAAATCATTCAAGTAAATATCCACTCAAAATGATATAAAAAGAACAAGAGAATAAAACCAAAGAAAGTAAAATGTTATTTGAAAGGAGCAGTAAAATAGTCTGAAAAACATAATTAAGAAAAGAAGAGTGAGGGCACAAATCAAACAATCTCAGCAGTTTAAAAAGGTGCACATCTATAGAGTGGCAATTAAGTCAGCTGTGGGATTAAAAGCCAGGTTCTGCCATTTATCAGCCTTATGACCTCTGGGCTTCAGTTTGCTCATATGTAAAACAGAGGTAACACTTACTCAGTGTCTAGTCACAGTGGACACTCAGTAAATATAAATTTCCCTCCTTCTCTCCACTTTCTTTAATTAATGGGTTTGTAGAATGAGGCGGGTAAACAACTAAAAATGTGAGATTTGTGGTTTATCATCTGCATAGAGTCTCATTAACTATTAACATGAATAAACAACAATTGACCTTCATTTGTTTTAGAACATATTCTTACCTGCCAAAACTCATTCTTAAGTACATAAAAGTCCATGTCCAAAGCAGCCACAAACATAATTATAGGTAAAAAATAACAATAAAGTGAAAAACTTGATGTGCTCAGAAGAGGGTAGACGAATTTGTGAATCTAAAACAACAAAGACAAACAGGAAAGTTAATCTGCTGCCATTTTCAAGTATTAGAAATTAGAATGATGTTAGTTAAATCAATAAAAATTTTAGAATATTCCTGTCTGCAATTAACGAGATTTTCTACAAGGCCAGTCCTGATGATCCTGTGGTTGATTTGTTGGTCTAACATTATGGATAGGCTATAAGTGTTGTCCTTTATTTACCAGAGAATTGTATGGTTTCTGGCTGCATAAATAGTGCTTGTGGTAAGTAATCAGTATTTTCCAGAGTGGTTTCCTATTATTTAGCAATCCCCAAGATGATTTTAGTGGTTCACGGATAATTTTTTTTTTTTTCTTACTTGACTGTTAGATACGTATTTTCATGTGCACTGTGGAAAAACTAAGGAGCTCTGGTGGTATAGAGCCTAAGGTACTTAACTGCTAATCAGAAGGCTGATGGTTCAAACCCACCAGCCACTTCATGGAAGGAAGATGAGGCAATCTACTTCCATAAAGATTTACCACTTCAGAAACCCAAAGGGTGTTGCTATGAGTTGGAATCAACTCGATAGCAGTGAGTTTGGATTTTTTTTTTTTTTTTTTTGGTTTAGTGAGAGAGCTGGAAGTACCTTACACAGACACTTGTAGTTTAACAGACATTAATGCTTAGGATTTAAAAATCTCTAAGTGAGTCACATAGAGAAAAATAATACTTAAATAAATTGTACAGATTTTGTGTATAGGACACAAATAATGAAGGTTGCCCACAGACGAATGGAAAACACAACATTTGAAGCTCTTTAAATAGTCCCCCTGAAAAGCATATTTTGGTCTGGTCAACAGTTTCAGATTCATTATTTAACTTCCCTGTGCCTCAATTTCCTCATCTGTAAAATGAGAATAATGTACCTACTCCACTGGGTTGTTGTGAGGATGAATGAACTGACTCAAAAGCTAATAATAAATTAATAATTATGAAGCACTTAAAAGGCAGCACATAAAAAAAATTCAAAAAATATTAAGTAGTATGAATAGCAAGACTTCAGAAAAACAAAAAGGTATTTATAACCCTAAAACCAAGGATAAGGACAAACATTATCTACATTTTTAAAGAAAGGAAGGCATGGAGGTAAATTGTTATTGATCACATTGCTATGCATTTGAAATCAAGAGAATAATAAATTAATACAAATTTTCTTGTATTGATATTATACATTATGTGATGCATGTTTACATTTCATCTGGCAGTAAGAAAAGAAAAACCATGCCTCATCATGAAAATAACTGCCACGTCTGTAAAGATTTACCACCTTGGAAACGCAATGGGGGTCACTGAGTCAGAATCGACTCCACGGCAGTGGGTTTGGGTTTTTTGCTTTTTATAACTAGAGTGTCTACAGGTATTAAGGAGAACATGAGGGGAGAAGCCAGTATGATGTGTGTGTAAGGGGGTGGTTTGAGAAATAAGAGCAAGGACTCAAAGGTAGATGGAGAAGAACCCAAGGATGAAATAAAATTTTCCTCACTCCCAAATTAGTTCCTTATCTTAAACTTCACTCAATTATATGTCTTCTTCATCAAATGTCTTCTCATTTTATAAATTTTTAATACCAGATGAAATTTTTGAACATCTGTTCACATAAAAAAATCCATATATTCAGGTATGGAGCAAGACTGTACCTTATTTTGCGTTTTTGTCCTTTAATTTATTGTACATACAGTACCTTAACAAACCTATAGGCCAGTTGCCCTAGGACAAATCCTGACAGCGAAAGAATCGACAAGACAATGACTTCAGAATTCTTTATATATGACTTCAAAAATCCTAAAGAAATACATGTATGTGTTATTTAGACATAATTAATAGTTTTAAAATATTTTAATTAATATTTTCTCTAGTTATTTAATTTTAAACTTCCTCTGAATGTCATATTATAATGAGTTGACAGCTGTCACAACTGCCGTCTCTTAACTATACGACTATCTTTTAAGACATATATAATGAGGTATCTCTCAACAGATAAATTTGGAAACTACAGAAAGTTCCAACAACCTCCCACTTACCCACCGAATGGCACATTAGGATTCATGTAAGATGAATATCTTACATGAATCTGATGGTGAAAAATTATGGGAAGCCAAATTTCATATCTACATGGCACATCTCATCTCAATAACTACTTATCCTAAACTATAGCAGTTCTGTGGAGGGCAGTTCTACTCTACACGTGTCCTTCCCAAAATCCAAATATTTTGTCCAGGGCTGGCCTGGCCAGGCAGGCAGTGTAAGGCTCTCCCTCATCTTTGTTACCAGAACATCTTGACTGCATCTTTATAGTTATACTTATCACATTGCATTATAATTATTTGTTGGCCTGTCTCCCCCATGAGAGGGCTTCTTGAGGTTAGAGACTGTCTTATTCCCCTTGTATCCTCTACCACACTGCCATGCTCAGCAAAAGTTAATAAATAAAGAAACATAGTATACGCATCATTTTATTACTAAATGAAACTAGACTGACAGCATTCACTCACCTCATTTCATTGAACCCCTTATTTTGACCTTTTTTTTAACATTTTTGTAATCACTTTGTACATGAAGAAACGTTTAGAGGGCCGAGAAGGGATGACATTTAAAAACAACCACCTACCTCCCAAAACAATGATGGAACATACAAGCACTATGAAATGTGTCTCTCCCACAGGGTAGTCAGAGGTCCACCCGCAGAGTACATCCGTTTTAGTACTATTCATCTTGCTTCATTTCATTTTCCCAGTTCTAATTTGAATTAATATGTGTTATTCATTGACACGTTATTACAAACTAACCTGTTTTTAAAAAACAAAAAGAAGAAGAAACCCACTACCGTCATGTTGATTTTGTCTCAGGGCATTTGGTGTTACAAAGTAGACTTACACTCCATAGCATTTTTTAACACGAACGACCAGATTGCCAGGCATTTTTTTCCTGAGGTACTGCTCAATGGGTTTGAACCCCCAACCTCTCGGTTAATAACTGAGCACAAACCATTTGTACCACCTAGGGACCTAACCTGTTAAAATACGCCAAAAGAAGAAAATGAAACCTGCCAGGATCCAATTTACCCACATTCTTTCTACCTACAATTGTACAATTGTACCACACTCAGACCTGAGCACCTTTTCTCTTGCCACAGCACACACTTTAATCCCTACAGTTCTACCTCTGGCTTCAAGAGTACTTATTAGGAACACTAACGAAAATGTTAGTGTTTCTTTCTCATGTTGCTCTGTGTGTGTGTGTGTTGATTGTTGGACTTATTATTGTCATGATATGCTAATATGTTTGCCTTCTCCATTGGACTATGAGTTTCTCAAAGGCCAGAGCTAAATATTGATTTTCTTTAAGATCATGTATGCAGTCTATGGCATATAACAGGCTCTCCACCAAAAAAAAAAAAAAAAGATTAACTGAACTCTGAGGGGGACGGAGCAAGGATAAATGTCATGCTCCTGCTTCTCCATGGGTACAAATAGTTTTGGAATGCCCTTTTACTACTCCAATTACATACTCCATTTTTCCTCTCTCAGCCCCTTCCAAATAGCAAATGGGAAATAAGGTCAAAATTGAGTTAGTTAAGATTGAAAGTGGGGGTGAGGTGAATAACCTAATAACAAAGGAAAGGACTAAGGTTGAGTGAATTAGGAACTAAGTCCCCTTTCCTCTGAGTAATGTAGCTTAACAACAGGGTACATGGCTTGGCAGGTGAATAGCAGGTGGGATTTCAGCCCCAAAACCCCACCTTAGCAAGTGCTCTTATGCAAGACATAACAGCACAAATACGTGTGCTGGTCCTGAGAAGGACTCTGTTTTCTTTTTCCTTGTGTCTAGCCTTAACCTAAACACTCCTAGACGTTCCTGAAGTATCCCAAATGATATTTTTTGTTGTTGTTGTTATGTGCTGTTGAGTCAGAACCGACTCATAGCAACCCCTCCTTGGGTTTCCGAGGTGTGATATTTAGAGCTCATCTTTTTGTCCCTTGATTTGCATTTGTTTGATCTACAAACACAATTCTGGTGTGAAGCTAGAAAGCAAACCAGACATGCAATTCAAAATGCCGCATCTCCCAATCACTTCATCTATTCCCCAAGCAGCCCTTCAGATCCCTGGCATCTTCAAACCTTACTATCCCCACTTATCATTATAACATCACCCTTAAATCAAGTGCCTCTTCCAAATACCAAGACCAGTGATATCATCTTCCAAGCCTAAACTGGTTCAGAATTGAAATCAAGATGAAGGCTCTTGAAAACCACAAAGAACAAAAATGCTCAGCTCTGCATCCGTTAGTCAGGGACAGTACTGCCAACTGATCGTTCACACTGAAAGCCATGCCCTTGCCTACTTCCCATTGGTTTCTGGCCAGCTTGCCTCCATTCTGATTGGCTAAATACGTTACCCTCACCCCCAATCCAGAAGATGCTAAGTGATCCAATTCCAAGGAAACATGCATTTCTTAATACTCAAGCTGTGTCTACACCCACAACTGTTTTAACTGATATTTTTTGCTGATATAACTAAAATGATCAGATAATGATCAGGTAGACAGAACCTCCTCCTATGTCTTTTTTACATATTCTATTTTTGTTTCCCCAAACTTACCCAGTTGGGGAGAGAGCCTAATCCTTTTCAATGTTGCCTTGTTTCCTGACTCATTTTCATTTTCAACCTCTCCTTTTTCAGTATTTCTCACTTCTACTCCTCTAACTTCTTTTGTTATTGGCTTTTGATTATTAATCTGAAGTAACAGTGTCACAGAAGGACAAATCATACCAAATTCTGTGATGTCCACGTTATTTTTGCCACAAATATTCACTAAAAATAAATGCAGCATAAATATTAAACAAATGAGCATTACTCATCAATTTGTAATTTACCTTCAATGAAATTATTTTGTTAAAACGAGATTCTATTCTCTCATGCCTATGCCACACAATCAGGATTGTCATTTATCCTGTTTCCCCGGGCACCAAGGATAATAGCACAGAAGCAGAGTTACTAAATGTATCACCAATCTTCTCCATGACTATGTGCCAGGGAACTTTTAACAAACCCAAGTCCCAATTCCTACTTGACTGGAGTTTCAGTTGACAGTTCTATGTCTTCCCCTGACTACAACACACACATTTGGAACCCATACACTACCTCCCAAAATATTTGCTTTTCATCATTGAAGACTAATTTTGGTACAGTTTGGTGTGGTTCTTTTAAGCCATCAGACCCATCCCAACCATAAATGCCAGGAACCATGTTCTAAAATAAACAAATAGTCATTCACAGACTCCTGACTCATTCCTTATTCTTTCTCATTCTGCCCTTATTTAACTGTCCCACTTACAAAGTTGACTATTCTTCTTCCCACTTTCATCTTCATTTTATCTAAACTGGTTGTCACCTCAACTTCTCTAAACACTAAGTTTGGTTCTCCCCTCAGCTGCACTGCCTCAGATCATTTTGAGTGATGCCCTCCCCAGTTCTATTTAGTTCCTTTCCTACTGTTGTTCCTCCAGGCTTACTTGGTTCACCTAAGCCTTATAGGTAAGATTCCAGTAATTATAAACTTCAAAATTCAGATTTTCCATGGCTTTTAGTAAAATCCTCATACTTCAGGAAAACTTGGACAAAATTCATAGAGTCAGCTCTAGATAACATATAACACCTAGATAACATCTCTGGGAGCTAGAAACAGTACATGACTAAAATATTAAAATAATCAAATTTCCCTACTGTACAACCTTTCCCATGTAGCTCATAAAAAGGCAATAATAACCTTTTATTTTATCATTTTTGGTAAAGCCAGATAAAATAGATTTTGGTAGCGTTGGTGAGTTGAAGACTGGGGGCTGCTCAGTGTGTTTTCTCCCAATCCTGTGTTCTAATAACTGACTATCTCATTTCCCTGAGCTAGGCACATTTTGGTTAATCATAGTTCTCTATTCCTCTAACTCTATAATTAATTTAGAGGTGGGCAGGGGACTCACACAAGAGCAATCAGATGGTGCCTTGGGTTGATATATACCCTTATTGGGAAAGAACTGTTCATTTTCCATTTGGATTCATAAGTTGTGGTAATGACTGCCTAGAGTCGCTACAGGCCATCTTCCTAGCTGAACGGAGAAAGCCCACCTATAGTCTGAAAGATTCTAGGAGGCATCACCTTAAGTATTTCTGAGATCTTAAAAAATAACCTACCTTACAATTCTACTCTGGGTTTTATATTTTCCCAGAAGCCATTTCTTAGTTTGATAATTTTTTACCATCTGAAAGGGCTAAGAATGGAAACAATTTTCAAACTCAGCATGTACTGGTTCCTTTATGCTTAACTTTTTTTGAAAACTGAAGAGTTTTTCAGCTCTTCTCTCTCCTCTCACATTTTACTAGAAGCAGCCAGATAGCATTTGAGTAGTCTGTCTGGAAATATCCCTAGCAGGATCACTGATTTCATTACTTACATAGGAACAGTGGTCACAAAACCACCACACCGTAAGAAGGGCCCCTTTCTTCAATTGCCAATAATATTTTCTTCTTTTTTCTATTAACTCCCACTAATAAGCTCCTGAAGAGCCCCATCACACAATAGTTAAGCTCTCGGTTTCTGACCAAAAGGTTGGTGATTCCATCCTACCCAGCTGCTCTGCAGGAGAAAGACCTAGTGATCTGCTCCTGTAAAGATTACAGTCTAGAAAATATGATGCAGTAGTTCTATTCTGTCATGTGGGGTCGCTTGTGAGTGGAAAATTGGCTGGATGGCACCTAAGAACAATAATCTTCCAGAGGCCCGTGATGATTCTGCTAATACTCCACTTTGGCCCTGTGGGCTTTCACTAACACTCTTCCAGCTTTTGCCTACCACTCAGTTCCAAACCCAAAAAGTCATATATTTTAAGTTTTGTTATGTCAATTTCTAACTTGCAGGTTCCAAAACTTGTATCAGTTTTTCATTGAAGCATAACAAACAAAACACAAAACTGAATAGCTTAAAACAACAATCATTTTATTTAGCTCATGAATGTGCATTTTGGCAGAGTACAACAAGAGACAGCCTGTCTATGTTCTGTACAGTATCAGCCCATATGGCTTGACTGGAAGACCCACTTCCGAGATGGCTCACTCATATGGCTGGTAGGTTGGTCTTGGCTACCAGCCGGCAGCTCAGCCAGAGCTATGGGTTGGGGCATCAGTTTCTTTTCACGTGGACCTCTTCATGGTCTGCTTTGCCTTCTACTTGGCATTGTGGTTGGTTTCCAAGAGTGAGCATCTCGTGAGAATTAGGCGGAAACTGCATCATCATTTATGATCTAGCCTTGGAAATCACATTATATCACTTCCACTGTAGTCACAGGCCTGCCCAGATTCAAGGGGAAAGAATACAGACCCCACCTTTTGTCAAGACTACATTGTAAAAAGAACATGTGAGACAGCAGCTAGTCATGGCTGTTAGTATAGTCATCTTAGAAAATACAATTTATCACATATTAGATCAAACGTGAGGAGCTTCACAATTTAGAGCATCACATTAACCTGACTTAACAGTCTGACTGCTTCAGCTTAGTCTAGAAGTAGTCATCCTCAAAGTCTGGACCACAGGCCAGTTTCAATTCACGACAAAAGTTCCACCATACGTGACAAAATTAGAAAAACAAATACAATGTACAGGTGTGTAGCAAAGCTCAATTTATTCAACTTAAAAGAATAGAGCCTTATACTGAAATTATATTCTCTTTTCTGATGTTAAAAAGTCTTGTCTTTTATTAAAAAGATAGTGATTCTCACTCTCACTGCCATGGAGTTGTTTCTGACTCATAATGACCACTCCTTGGGTTTCCGAGGAGATATCTCTATGGAAGTAGATTGCCCAATCTTCCTTCTGAGGAATGGCTGGTGAGTTTGAACCACCAGCCTTCTGGTTAGCAGTCAAATGCCTTGGGCACTATGCCACCAGAGCTGATAGTAGATAACTGTTTTCTTAAAGGTGTCATTCATATTAATCCCCTCTCCCTCTCCTTTAAAATATTTTTCTGATCAATGAACTACAAAAGTCTAAAGAACTACTGTCTAGAAGTTATCATAACATTGAATTTAGCCTTTGCTTGACAATTCTCAAGTAATATGAGGCTTTCTTGATTTACTATGCACTTTGAAACAGTAATCACAGTGTGGATGTTCAGAAAAAGTCATGCAACTACCTGCATGTTACAGCTCAAACTCAAACCATAAGGGCATTTTAACTTTCCTGTGACTATAATTCAATGAAACAATAGGTAACAGGTAATAGGTAATAGGTAACAAGAGGTACTATACCCCTCAAAACAGACCACAGTTATAGGTCTACAGATATAAAGAAATACTCAAATCTTCAAATTAAAGGAATCTTTGAGGTGAGATCTAGGAACCCCTTGGTAATCACCAGGTTTACATTTCTGAAGTGATGTGGTGTCCCAGATGAAGACTCAGGAAATAGAAGGTTAGAGGAGAAACTATATGTAGAATCATAATGCTTGGTGTGTGTATGGCTTATTTATAGGACAGGTTGGAGTTGAAATGGGGCACTGGCACAAGCAAAATATGGAGATAAAAATCTGGAGTCATTTTTATAAAGGTGAACATACTTTATGAATGAATGAAGAAGTAATGAGTTCTACAAATAAAGTAGTGCCAAAAGAGAATTCATTCAATTATTATTTACTGAGAACTTACTACCTTAAAGGCTTTTTAGATATGAAGGAAAACAAGACAAGGTCCCTACCCTCAAAAAGCTCACGATTCATGTGAGTAGAAAAGATGTGAACAATTAAATAAAATATAGTATGAGGTTTTTAGTACTATGGGCACCCCAAAGAAAAAGGGATAAAGTTTACCTAACACTGAGGAAAGGAAAGATCATGGGGTGGAGAATTATAGATTACTTCACCAAGGGTTAGGTTTGAATTTTGAAATGTTCCCACATTTGGGGGTCAGATGAAGAGGAGCTGGAGAGGGATTTAGAAAGCAGTCTGTAAGACAGTAGAGGAAACATGATGACATAAAAAAAAAAATGAAAAAATACATAAATAAATAAATTGGGGAAAAAAAAAACAGTTCCAACGCACAGCAACCCCCACTGGGTTTCTAAGGGATAAATGTTTACAGAAGTAGATTGTCTCATCTTCCTTCTGTGGAGCAGCTGGTGGGTTTGAACCACTAACCTGTGGTTAGTAGTCAAATATCTTAGGCATTGTACCACCAGAGCTCCTTAGGATGGCATAGAGGTACCAATATAAGGGCTTTCCAGAAGATAGCATTAGGAAACATACCAAAAGCCACAAAAAAGTTTGACAACATGGACTGAGAGATAAATAAAGAGGAAGAGAAAGGTTTCTTTTATAATAGGGGGTCTTGAGAAATTCCTTGGTCTTATCTAGGAATCTTAGAAGAGTGCTCTAGGAATCCTTTGCAAATCACCAGGATCACATACCTGGAAAATAATATCATATTCAAGATCAATGCTTAGAAAATACAGAGTCAAAGTAGAAACAATGAAAATGGCATCTGGCCATTTATCAAATTGTGCTTAAGGGCGCTGGACTTATAACAATATACTGTATTTAGACAATGAAGCAAACACAGATCTTCTTGGTAAATTCAGACTCATGGCAACCCCACATGTATCAAAGTCCTATGTTCCACAGGGTGTTCAATGGCTAAGTTTTCAAAAGTAGATGCCAGTTCTGTCTTCTGGAGAGCCTTTGGGTGGTCAAATCTCCAACCTTTCGGTTAGAGCCGAGCATGTTAACCACCCAGGGACTCCTCCTTCTTCGTACTACTCCATAAACACCCACTGGGTCTACCAGAGAAGGTAGTAAGAGTTATTGCTCTGTTCTTCTGCATAAGGCAATTGAAATTGAGTTGCTTATATATAAAAAAGATCTCAAAATTTCAAAATTAGGGAGACGAATTATAAAACAGTATTATCCCACAACCCTATCTGAGACAATATTAACTGACAAGGTATTAATTACTGACTTGCTCATTTTTTTCCTACCCACTCCCATAACAAAAATCTCTCTTTCAAGGAGAGACAAAGAAGAAGAACATTTGAAATAAATGTTTTCTAGAATTTTTTTTTCTATAAAATATTTCCAGAAAGAGTAGCAGAAATTTCAGGGCCTTATTGATAAACTAGGAGGTGTGGGGGGAGACAATGCCTAAATCACCAATATGAAACCAACTCTAATATTTAAAAGATAAATAATTACAAAATAGAACAGGAGGAAAGTGGTATAGAGTCCAGTTACATCTCTATTACCCGAACTATGAAGAGGGGAGATCTTATAAATATAAAACTAAACAGATTTGTGTTAAGTAAGTAAAAGATAGAACATAAAGAAATAAAGGAGCTTACATCCTACTGCACAGATGAATTTCAATTTGTATATAAAAAGTAATAGTTGTATAATCAGAGGACCCTGATCCAAATGATCCTTAATATTTTCTTGCTGTAGAATGTCATTCCATATGCTTTCCTTTTGAGAGAGGGAGAACAAATTTTTCATCTAGAAATGGTCAGATATGTCTTTTTTAAATGAAATCCTCACTTGAGTGAACTTTTTTTTTTCCACAATAACATAGAAAATTATCCGATTCTCTACATAGTTTTAAAAGCCTCCATCTGATGTTTGTGTGTGAGGCACAGCCAACTGCTCTCCACCTAGAAGGAGCATCTGGAATTCACTTGGGTTGTCTGTAGGGGAGCAGAGGCTAGGCCAGTGAGTCTGGTCATAAGCATGCTAAACAGGGTGCAACAAAACAAAGTGATTTAATTTCCTGTTTAAACATTTTTATAAACCCCCAGTCCATTTTCGGACTTCATGAGTAAATTTTCTTTACAGATACTAGAAGAAAATGTGGACTTTTACAAAATATCTATTCAGTAGGAAGTATGATCTTGACTTCTTTTCTGACCATGGCTTAGGCTACAGTTTTGGCACTTTTCACTTGACCTGAAAGGAAACAGATTTTAAAATTACAGTTAATTAGCTTGCAATATGAAACAAAATGAAGCTAGTTTTTAAAACAGTGGGGGCATAATATAAAAAAGTATGTTGCAGCCTGCATTAGCCACTGATTGAACCTAAAGTGGCTGGTACGTGGATTCAAGTATTCACTCTCCCTTTTTAAAATATTTGAAGCTGTACAATCACATTTCCCACATAATCAATATTATTGTTTTTAGTCCTACCACTGACTAGAATAACTTTGCCTACACTTTCTTCATTATAAAGTAAAGTACTATTTCAGAGTTTCCATACAGATCCAGCATTCTATGAAGCAGATGTGAGATGCGGAAGAGGTTGGAGGGGATGAAATACAGAGGACTTGGGGCAGAAAGGCTATTCTTCCTCGCAGGTGAGAAGTGAAGGAGGTAGGGTTGTTGGGTCAAGGAAACAGTAGTGATGGAGAAGGGGAAAAGGCTGGAATCAAGGCAATATATAACAAGTAATTTAAGTTTTAAGCATCTCACAATAGACAGACCAAACTATAGTGGTCTCTGTTTCTCTAAACTCTCCTTCCAATACATTTTAGAAAATCAGACTATTCTCCCCTCTTAAACCCTCTTTTCTCCTATCCAAAAGCCTTTATTTTATTTTATTTTCTCAGGTGTTTATGTGTTTATCTGTATAGCCTAGTGTTTGGTGTTAATGGCAATATGGTATTGTGGACACATTGGTTGGTATTAGCATCTGTCGTCTATCTCATATGTGCACAATTCGGTGTCCTCCCATTTCCTAATGTTATTACGGTGGTTATATATCCTTCCCATATATCCCTCCCCCTACCCATGTCAGCATGTAGGCCCCAGCTAGCCCGAAATTAATCCTTCCCTTTCCCTCCCCATCCCAGTAACCTACTAGGTGAGTTCCCTTTCCCAAGCAAACTCTTCTCTGTCTTTTTACAGGAATGGGCTCATACAGTACTTGTCCTTCTGTGATTGACTTATTTCACTCAGCATAATGTCCTCCAGGTTCATCCACATTGTGAGAAGATTCATGTATCCCTCATTGTTCTTTCATGTGGTATAGTATTCCACTGTGTGGATATACCATAATTTGGTCATCCACTCATCCACTGATGGGCATTTAAGTTGCTTCCATCTCTTTGCTATGGTGAATTGTGCTGTGATGAACGTAAGTGTACATATGTCTGTTCGTGCGCTCTCACCTCTTTAGGATATATTCCTAGTAATGGAATTTCTGGGTCATATGGTATTTCTATTTTCAGTTTTTTAAGGAAACACCATACCATTTGCCACAATGGTTGTACCATTTTACAATCCCACCAGCAGTGCACAAGAGTTCCAATCTCTCCACAACCTCGCCAGCATTTGTTACTTTGTGATCTGTTGAACTTTGCTATTATTGCTGGGGTGAGATGATATCTCATTGTTGTTTTGATTTGCATCTCTCTAATGATTAATGATCGTGAGCAGTTTCTCATGTGTTTGTTGGCTGCCTGTATATCTTCCTTGGTGAAGTGTTTGTTCAAGTCTTTTGTCCATTTGTGAATTGGGTTATTTATCTTTTTGGTGTTGAGGTGTTGAAGTTTTCTGTAGATTTTGGAGATAAGTCCTTTATCGGATATGTCATAGGCAAATATTTTCTCCCAATCTGTAGGTTCTCTTTTTACCCTTTTGACAAAATCTTTCGATGCGTACAATAATTTAATTTTAAAAGGTCCCAGTCATCTAGTTTCTCTTCTGTCCCCTGCACATTCTGGGTTATGCTTGACAGTCTATTTATCTGTAAATTAGGGCTCCCAGATTTGTCCCTATTTTATCTTTGATGTATTTTATAGTTTTGGGTTTTACATTTAAGTTTTTGATCCAGCTTGAGTTTGTTTTTATGCATGGGTTGAGGTATGCATCTTGTTTCATTTTTCTACAGGTGGATATCCAGTTTTGCCAGCACCATTTGTTAAAGAGGCTGTCTCTTTCCCATTTAATGGGTTTTGGACCTTTGCCAAAGATCAGTTGTCCATAGATGGATGAGTCTGTATCTGGACTTTCAATTCTGCTCCATTGGTCTGTCTGTCTATCTCACTATAGACAGACCAAACTATAGTGGGCTCTCTTTCTCTAAACTTCTCTCCCTCCAATACATTTTATAAGAAAACCAGATTATTCTCCCCTCTTAAACCCTCTCTTCTCCTACCCAAAAGCTTTTAATGGTATTCTATTTCCCAGAAAATAAAGTGTAAACTTCTAATCTTACCATTCAGTATTTTTCATAAACGATCACAAGTTAATCTTCCAACCTTGTTTTCTACTGTTCCTTAACACAGAATCAAATACAATTGGCCAAATGGGTATTGCCCACTTCCGTCTATTTCCACATTTGAATGTTTTATTATCATATTGTGCTTCCATTCTGGAATTTCCTACCCTCTGCAGCTGTGCTACCCATCCATCCAAGCTATTTCTCTTTCTCCATGAAACTTCCTCTTTATACTTAGCCTCCTCTGAACATCTACACTACTTAAGCTTAGCTTTTTGAGTCTGCATGTTGTAATCACAAGCTATGTGCTAGGCTCCTTAAAGACAAGAACAGTAAAAGCTTCTGTCTCCTCCAGGGTTCTAGACTGCTATGAATATGCTCAATAAATAATAGTTATAGATAGCAAGATATCTTTAGTCACACTGCCTAGACCAAGTTAAGTGCTTCAATCATTTAAAACCACAGCCTCTTTTGAAAAACATAAAAATCTTAGATATCTGCATATCCACATGCAAAAGAATGATGTTGGACTGTTACCTTATACCATATATTAAAATTAACTCAAAATGGATCACAGAACTAAATGTAAAAACAAAAACTATAAAACTCTTAGAAGAAAACATAAGAGCAAATCATTGTGATTTTGAATTAGGTAATGGTTTCTTCTATATGATACTAAAAGCATAGCAATAAAAGAAAATATATATAATTGTATTTCATCAAAATTAAAAATTTTGTGTTTCAAAAGACATGAGTAAGAAAATGAAAAGACAATCCACAGAATGGCAGAAAATATTTGCAAATCATATATCTAATAAGGAACTATATGCAGTACACATAAAGAACGCCTACAACTTAATAATAAAGCCAATCTAATTTTTTAAAAAAAGATTTGAATGACATTTCTCCAAATAAGATACACAAATAGCCAGTAAGCACAAAAAGATGTTTACCATTAGTAGTCATTAACCCAAGGAGCTCTGGTGGCAGAGTGGATAAGGCATTTTAGCTGTGGTAGCACAGTGCCTAAGGCACTTGACTGCTAACCAGAAGGCTGATGGTTCAAACCTACCAGCCACTCCTCAGAAGGAAGGTTGGGCAATCTACTTCTGTAGCGATACTGCCTTGTAAACTCAAGGAGGGGTCGCTATGAGTCAGGTCCAACTCAACGGCACATAACAACAACAACAACCAGAAGGTCAGAGGTTCAAACCCAGCAACCACTCCACATAAGGAAGATAGGGCAATCTACTTCCATAAAGATTTACAGCCTCAGAAATCAAATGGGGGTCACTATGAGTCAGAATCAACTTGATGGCAATGAATTTGGTTTTTGGAATCATTAACCCAAACCTACAGCCATCGAGTTGATTCTGACTCATGGTGACCCTGTAGGGCAGGCAGAGTAGAACTGCTCCATAGGGTTTCCAGGTACAAGACTGGGCAGTGTTTCATTCTGTTGTACACAGGGTCACTACAAGTTGGAGCTGACTCAATGGCACCTAGTAACAACAACATGGAGTTTCCAAGGTTGTAAAATTTTATGAAAACAGACTGCTTTATCTTTCTCCCATGGAGCAGGTGGAGGATTTGAATTGCCAACCTGCTGGTTAGCAGCCAAATCCCTTAACCACTATGCGACCAGAGCTCCTCTTAGTAGTCATTAGGGAAATACAAAGAAGAACTACGATGTAATGCCATTTCACATCCACTCAGACATTTAAAAATTATATATAGAGATAATAAATGTTAGCAAGGATGTAGAGAAATTGGAAACCTCATACACTGCTGGTGGAAATGTAAAATGGTACAGCCATTATGGAAAACAGTGTGGCAGTTTCTCAAAAGGTTAAACATAGAGTTAGCATTTGACTAAGCAATTTCTCTAGATATATACCCAAGAGAAATAAAAAACATGACCACACAAAAATTTTCACATGAATGTTCATAGCAACATTATTTAAAACAACCAGAAAGATGGAACCAACCTAAGTGTACATCAACTGATGAATGTTTAAGCAAAATTTGTATACATACATACTTTCTATTTGGCCATAGAAAGCAATGAAGTACTGATACCTGCTACAGCATGGATGAATCTTGGAAACATTATGCTAGGTGAAAAAAGCCAGATAAAAAAGGCCACATATTGTATGACTCTATTTATGTGAAATGTCCAGAATAGGCAAATTCAGAGAGGCATATTAATGGTTGCTGGGGGGAGGGAGGAAAGGGAAATAACTGCTAATAGGTATGGAGTTTCTTTTTCAGGGTGGAGTGATAAAAATATTCTAAGATTAGATAGTGGTGATGGCTGCACATCTGTGAATATACTAAAAGTTACTGAAATGTATACTTTAAAAGGGTGAATCTTATGATAGGAAATTTATGTAAGTAAAACTGTTAAGAAAAACTATCTTAAGTATCCCTGCCACCAAGATTCTAATACATGCACCTTCCCCATTCACAGGACAGTATTCCCACAATAGATTTTTTTACCCCCAAATAGAATTTTAATACTGAAAATGCTCTTTCAAAATCTGCTACCCTATCTCCCAGAAGGACATGCCTCCCTAGTTGAGAATCATTGGTTTGCCAGTCAAAGGCACAGTAAACTATATAAAATTAAATGATTGATGACTATTCTAATGTTAAAGTTAGTATTAGACATCCCCTATAGAAAGAGCTCCATTATTATTATTAGCTATTACTAACACTGAAAGTAATATTGAAATTAGGGAGCTACATCATGGATACTGCCTCGGAAACCCAAGGAGGGGTCGCTATGAGTCAGGCCGACTAGATGGCAAATAACAACAACAACATCATCACAGATTAGTGCTTATAACATGGTTAATGACTATTTACAGAGATTATTAAATTAAACTATCTCAGAAATAACAACATTGAACCTCATTTTCATCTTTTCTGACATTCAAACCACTTTTTATCCAAAACTTACGTGGTGTGGATATTTTTGTGAAAATGGGAGTCACAATATCTTCCAATTGTTGTTTCTGTTCAGAAAGCTCATTAATGGAAGCTTCCAAATGGGTTTCCAGCCACTCGTTTTTTATACGGCATGCACTAAGGATGGTATTCTGGGGACAGAGTAGAAAATTTACTTTCCACTTATTTATTGAAAAATAAAAGTCTTTAGAATCTCTAAACAAGCAATGTTCAACAGAAATTTCTGTGATAATGGAAATATTCTGTATCTGCACTGTTCAATACAACGGCTATTAATATGTGGCTATTAATACTTGAAATGTGGTAAGTGTAACTGAAGAACCGAATTTAAATTTTAATCAATTCAAATTTAAATAGCCATGTGACTAATGGCTACTCTATTAGACAGTGCAGTTCTAACATTAGTGGAATGTGAGTATAATAAACCTTCTCACAATCTAGAGTCATGAAACCTTGTCTATGCTAGTTTCCTAATTCTTTATTTTCAGAGCCATATTATAAAAACAAATGCTTGCAAAGATTGGAAAAGAAGAGATGGATGGTATGCGCTGCATGCAAGTCAACAGAAAAGGCTGATTATGAACATTTTATTCCCTCTCAATGGTCCACAGTAGGACAGGGTGCAAGAAATGCAAGAAGAACTCTACTTCACTGACAACCTCTCACATTGCATTATGAAACCATCTCGTTGTGCACGTGCAGTGAATCGTTAATGTCTGATTTAAGATACCAGGACAAATTTGGACAACTTAAAACCTCATTTCCTCCTGCCTTTCTAGTCTATGTTGGCCTTCTTTTGTCTAATATATGCTTTCCAATTCTCCCCTCAATGCTTCCTCACCACCAAGAGGAAGAAAGAGACTGAAAAAATGAGTGGAAAAGAAAGACAAAAAACAAAAGAGGAAAGAAGAGTTACATGACTGTCATTGGAAGGATTACTTCTGACTACGTTGAAACTCAGAAAAATTGAAAATAAGAGAGGTTAAACAATTTGCCCGAGACCCTACTTCTTATCAAAGCAGAGCCAGGACTATAATCTCAATCTCTACCTCCTAAACAAATGTTCTTTCCACTTCAAAATGCTGACTTCTAAGCTAGGTGACCTTCTTTCATGATCAGTAATATAAGATTGAAAGATTTCTCTATTCCTGGGGATTTCCAAAGTTTCAAACTAATATTACTAGACACAGCATTCCTAATTTTAGAAGATGAAGAATAGACTTCCTTTAGTGAAAAAGCATTACTCTATACTCAGTAAAAGGGAGAAGATGAAAGAATGATGAACATACATGAATTAAATTTTTCATGCATATATTCCTGGGTTTAGTTGATTAGTTGGTAGATAATTGGTTTCACCACAGACTGTTAAGAAATAATTATTGGCAGAACAGAAAAGCTATGAAGACCTCAGGTACAGCTTAGCTTTCTACTAATTATTCTTAAATGCAAAGAGCTTATAATTGAATTTTCCATTACAGAAAGGAGCCAATAGATAAACAGAGTTCAAAGAAAGTATTTGTTGAATACAATAATTAATTGTAGTAAAAGAAATAAAAAAAGAAATTCCAGAAATAGGAATACTTTATAAAATTATGTTCATAGTAGAGGACTTTAACATACCTCCTTCAGAATTTGATAAAATAAGGGAAAAAATAGTAACAATATAAAGGATTTGAATACGTAGTCAAACAAGCTCAAGCTTGCAGAACTTTGTACTTTATAATCACAGAATGAGTAGTTTTCAGTTTTTCCACAAAACATTTATCAAAAAATGATAATTTTCTTGGTCATAATCAAAATTATAATAGATGTCAAAATTTGAGATTCATGGGCCTTATTATCTGACAAAAAATTAATGAAATTAGAAATTACAACAAAATGATCATCTGGAAGTAAAGTACACATCTATAGAATCCCAAGATCAAAACATTAAAATTGATAAGATAATATCTATAAATTAATAACAAAGATTATTTCATATAAACTGCTATAGGATACAGTTAAAACTTTACCCAGAGGAAAATTAATACCTTTAAATGACTTTGTTAAAGCATAGAAAACAAACAAAGAGAAAAAAAGAAATAAAACCATTTCGGGAAACTAAAGAAGGGACAATAAAATAGCCCAAAAGAAGTTAAGAGGAAAATATTAATAAAAAATTAAAATTGATTAAATAAAACAAAGCAATAAAACATTGTTGTTGTTGTTGCTGCTGTTATGTGCCGTCGAGCTGGACCCGACTCATAGTGACCCCTCCGTGGGTTTCCGAGGCAGTATCACTACGGAAGTAGATTGTCCAACCTTCCTTCCGCCAGCCTTCTGGTTAGCAGTCAAGTGCCTAAGGAACTATGATACCAGAGCTCCTAATAAAACATTAGGAATAAGAAATAAACCAGAAGCTGGTTTTTGAAAATACAAAATATAATAGATTCCAGGCAAGCCTAAAAGAAACAAATAACTGAAAAAAAAAAAAAACAACAACAACAAAGGATTAAGTAAGAGAATGAATACCCAGATAAGAAAGAGAACAAAAGAATTATAAGAAAATACGATGTGTAACTTTATGGTAAGAAATTAAAAATTATAAGGGCATTTGATCATTTTGTTATAGCAAGATATAAATTACCTACATTAACCCAAAAAGGGAAGAAAAGTGAACAGACTCATAAATATAGAAGTTGAAGTGTTTGTTAATGAACACTTTAAAAAGGTATCATCTCACAACATGGATGAATTTGGAGGACATTATGCTGAGTGAAATAAATCAATCACAGAAGGATAAATATTGTATGAACACACTATTGTAAAAAGTCAACAAAAGGTTTACTCAGGGAAGGAAATTGACTTTGTTGGTTACTGGACCGGGGACAGGTGGGAAGGTGAGGGGAAATGTCAGATTAGTTGAGGATCACATGTTGATTTGGGTGAAGGGAGGTACAGTATGGAAAGAGTCTGTGACCAGCATGGTGACATTGGGGAAAGGAGAGACACAGGGACGTGCACAAAAGATACAGACAACAGAGGCAAATACTATTACATGCACAATACCACGTTACCTTTGGCACCAAACAGCAGGCTACAGATAATGCATAGACAGGTGAGATCAGGTGGGGGTAGGCGAACAGGAATATACCCTAGACTAAGGGCAGATTTGGCTAAACATAATCTTACATTACTTGCATACATTACTGGACAACTTTATGAATAGCCCTGAAACACTGTCTGATACAGTGCCAGAAGATGAGCCCCTTAGGTCGGAAGGCACTCAAAATATGACTGGCAAAGAGCTGCCTCATCAGAATAGAACCAACCTTAATGATATGGATAAAGTAAAGTTTTCAGGACCTCCATGTGCTGACATGGCACGACTCAAACTGAGGAGAAACAGCTGCAAATATACATTAATAATCTGAACATGGCATACACAAAGTATGAATCTAGGAAAATTGGAAGTTGTCAAAAATGAAGTGAAATGCACAAACATTGATATCTGAGGCATTAGTGAGCTGAAATGGACTGGTTTTGGCCATTTTGAATCAAACCACCATATGATCTACTATGCTGGGAATGACGAATTGAAGAGGAATGGCATCATCACAAAGGATGTTTCAAGAACTGTCCTGAAGTACAATGCTGTCAGTGATAGGATAATATCCATACGCCTACAAAGAAGACCAGTGAATACTACTATTATTCAAATTTATGCAACCACCACCAAAGCCAAAGATGAGGAAATTGAAGATTTGTATCAACTTCTACAGTCTAAAATTGACTGCACATGCAATCAAGATGAGTTAACACTGGTGACTGGAATACAAAAGTTAGAAACAAAGAAGAATCACTGGCAGTTGGAAAATCTGGCCTTGTGATAGAAATAACACTGGAGATAACATGATAGAATTTTGAAAGACCAATGACTTAATCATTGCAACACAAATGGCATCAATACACGTAGACTTCACCAGATGGAACACACAGGAATCAAACTGACTACATCTGTGGCACAAGGTGATGGAAAAGCTCAGTATCTTCAGACAAAACAAGGCCAGGAACTGACCGTGGAACAGACCATCAACTGCTCTTATGCAAGTTCAACCTTAAAGTTGAAGACAATTAAAACAAGTCCACAAGAGCCAAAATATGACCTTGAATATATCCCTCCTGAATTTAGACACCATCTAAAGAATAGATTTGATGCACTGAACACCAATGACCAAAAACCAGA